ATTAAAATTACGTGGGCGGAAGGAAAATTGTATAGGAGACAAGCTGGAGTCTCGTGTGGCGATAGCGATAACACCGGGACGAATGGTCTGGGGTAGAGACAGCTTCGTTCGTAACCGGATGAACTCCGTGAAATGAAACAACTGACAATGCTAAAATAAATTGCAGAGGTACCCTACAATTAATTGAAAACAAGCAAATAATCTCCATGAAAAATAAATCACAGAGAGAGATAACTTGATACATTAACAACTCTTTTGACCTACATGTATTAGTTTTGTGCTGACCGCTTCTCCGTGTCTGATGTTTTGTTTTCCTTGTCATAATACTTACTGATTGATGACTTTGTTTTGATTTTGATTTTTTTAGCCTACAACTCGGACACGACCTTTGCTTTTACCGTGAAAAATGGGGAAGTTTACGTCAATTTGACGGACAATTCTTTTTTTCAAAACTAACGAAACACACTGTCTAGCATCCCCATTTTTTCATTTGCTGATTTCTATTCAGAAAAATTCGACCGCTCGAAAATGCTCGAAAACATGTCAGATTTCCAAAACCAATTATTTAAAAACCTGTCGAAATTTTAGAATTTTTGACTCCCATGTGCGAAGCACAAAATGGGAGTCTTTGCAGTTAGTGTGTCTGTATGTGTGTGTGTATGTGTGTATGTGTGTATGTGTGTGTGTGTGTATGTGTGTCCGACTGTTCCACTGCTATCTCAAGAACCATACATCGGTTTTTGATGAAACTTGGTGCATAGATGCTCTGGGCCAATGCGCAGATTTGATTAGGTTTTGGTAAAAATCCATGCTCGTTAATTACCTAATTTGCATGATAATTAGCTAATTTTTAGCTGTTCTATGACTGTTCCACTGATATCTAAAGAACCACTTATTGGATTTTGATGAAACTTGGTACATAGATGCTCTGAACATATGCGCAGATTTGATTAATTTTTGGTAAAAATCCTGTGCATATTAATTACCTAATTTGCATGATAATTAGCTATTTTTTAGTGGTTCCATGACTGTTCCACTGATATCTAAACAACCACTCATTGGATTTTGATGAAACTTGGTACATAGATG